TCATTGTCCCTGCTACAATGAATATCATTTAAATCTGCTGCTTCAATACATGTAAAGAAACATACCCTTCACCTGACATATACCCTTCAAGGCAACCGACCAAATTTCAGTTCATTGACTTAGTTCTGCTTGACCAAAAATCAGTGCCTATTGTTTCAAAACATGTCATCATCTCACAGTATATTGCAATTGCTGGTTAAGTGGCTTAGTTTTATTGATAAGAACCCACTCTGATGAGAACAAAGAGGACTGCCAGAATCCCTTATAGAAAATGAAAAAAGCTATTTTGCACACAATTTTCAGAAACAGTTTCCAATGCATAAGAGCAGAGCTTTTTGGATGGGCTGTCATAATCAAATCCTTAAAAAGGCATGAGAAATGAGCGTATTATTCTTGATTTACTATCACTTCATTTACGATTTCCAGTTAATATAGATTCACAAAGCTGTGCCAAAGAGATACTAAATGCCTGATTGTGCTTTCCTAATTCAAGCAAAACCCATTCTCTAAGTCCTTTTGAAGCCTCTCAGGCTTCTGCCAACTCTTGCAATTTTTATTGCAAGCCTTGCAGTACTCAATGTTTTGCTTAACATTCCAGCTCTTGGAGTTCTACAACATGTGAATCTTTATTTTCGGTTTTAAAAGATATTTATCACCTTCATGAGTGAATAGAAAAAATTGCAAATGAGACTTTTAAAAAGTGTTAAAAGAGAAAAAGAAGGAAAAACTTAACTGTATCATTTTTCTGAAAAGCTTCATAAATAAGGTGATATTTTTAGAACAAATTCATTATTTCTGAGCCCCAGTGAATAGTTATGGCTCACCAAAAGTTAGCAACACATAGCTGCATGTTTTCACTTAACAGAAATCCTGCTCTTGCAACACTTTGGGGATTTCTTTGCATGCTCATAATGGTATATAAATTTTTGAGTGTACTCCCATGCAGTGTTGGGTGATGAAAGGACCTCTCCCACAATCATCAGCTCCCATACCAGTGGCCATGGCTTCCACCAAGTGTCAATGGCAAAGTGAGAAGCAAAGCAGATAAAACCTCTCATGGACTACCCAACTGGTGCCAATTTTGCACCAACTGTCTGACCAGGCTGCCCAGTCCTTAAATTGCCTGCTCCAGAGTCTACTGTAAGCTATGTGGTGATCCTTCAGGACAGCTATAGATCAGTGGCTGCTACCTGAAGTACTTGGATAAAATAATCACAGGCCTCCCACAATGGCTGCAAAACTGCACATCACTTGTTAACACTGAAACAACACAATGCTTTCTTCATTTCCCTCTTCCTCCCACCTCCTGATCTCCTCTTTTTTTCTTCCCCCTCCTTACCTGATATCTTTTGTTTATTCTGCAAGATACTGGAGGCAGGGACTTTCACTTCCTATGTGTTTATGCAATACCTTTCATGAAGGCTGACAGCTCAAGATGCCATTATAATCGATGGGGTAGTAGGGGAGAGGATTTTAAGGCAGAGAAAAAATGAGGCATTCACCAGCCATTGACATTCAACAGGCTTTTGACTACCTCTCCCCTTTGAAAAATCTGTATTTCCAAGGGCAATAATTAAGATGTCTGTCATCACCAAAACACCCATTGTTAAAATATGACACAGATTCCAAGTAAGGAAAACCTTCATTTAGAGTGGAGTCATTAACAGAAAGCATTTTTTTCCCCCCGAAGCACTAAGACTTCATCTACCTAAAATAATGCACAACAATATTCAACATACTTTCTGGAAGTCCTATGTCTTTTGGCATATATTGCATTTGTTAGATATCTGTGGAGAAGCATGCACTGCAGCAGTTAAAGCACTAACGTTGTAGGTTTTTTGAAAGAACATTTCCTATAAATAGAGATTTAAATGATCTTCTTTAAGTATTGTAATCTTTAATTGAATTCAATACCTCTGCAAATGGAGCAAACAATCTCTGACTGATTAGATCATTTGCTTCTATTCTATTTCAGACATGCACTGGTTTGCAGTAATGTAAGGTTTTTTCATTAGCAATTGCTGTTCAGCTGCATATTTTCTTCAGTAACCTAATTAATGCAAGAAAGGTAACTTTTCTTCTCGTGCACTACAGTATGTCAATGTAGCTGACACTCTTGCAGAGGTTATATGTAAATAAAAATTAAAAAAAATGTAAAGGACAAAAATGAAAGGGAATGAAGAAATTAAAAGCAGATTTTTCATGAGATGGTGAGTGCCTTCATCTCCTGTGACATCAAGATGGAAACTGGTTATTCAGCACCCTGCAGGACAGACCCATGGGAGTCCTATGGGTCAGTAGCTCAGAAATTATTACATGCAGGTAGAATAAGAAAACGGGTATTAATGAAGAGAAGAAATAATGTCCTTAATCTGATTCAGTAGCTTCCTAGGTCTGTTGCATGAATAGCATAGCATCCTGCAGTCAAATTTCAGCTTTGACTTTGGGATGTTATCAATCTTTTTTAATCAAATCATAAGCCTGATTGTGAACTGTGTTTCAGTGCAGTCCCTGACTAATTAAGTGTACAGTTGTAATGACAACAGAGGTCCTACAGGCAAGACATTTAGACACAGCTGAAGTAAACCACTGTGTATTATTAATGGCAAGAAGGCCTCAGTTACACACTCAGGATGCCATGTGCTGTAATGATGTTACCATTGGATGCTTCCCTCAGAAATGTTGCTTTGGGGCTCTCAGATACAGTTTCCCATGCGCTTCGTCAATTACTTTTGCCAGCCAGGCTAACAGGTGAGAGAAGCTGATTGAAACCTTCATCCTCAGAATGTGCCTCGGTGAGATGCTGTGCACCTCTGGATGCTCCTGGAGCCTGCTGGAAGCTTGTGTTGGTGGGATATCAAAGAGCAAGCACTTATAGTATTTTGGCATAGCCACTTCAGCCAGAAAGGGATGAGGAAATAGCACAACTGCATCGAGGCCACCCAGCTCCAGTGGCAGCGAGGTGCTCTATAAAATTGAGTAAATGCTCTGATAGAGTTGATAATGGTCACATCTTATTTCAGGCACCACACTCTAGAAACAGATCATCTTTGGAAGATCATTTTGCCCACCTGTCTGTTTTGCCTTTTCAGCAAAATTTACACCTCGTCATAGTTGTTAGCATGGAAAATTTTCTTCAAAAATTATACCACTGAAACATCTCAAAAATTAGTATTTTAGTGGCTAAACATGCAAACAGTGTGCAAACCATACTGGGGAATATTCACAGAAACTGAGGAAGGCTGGAAAAGCAACTACACCAGTAAACCCCCACTGCCTACAGGTCATGAAGGTGCCAAATGGGAATGGTCCCTCCTCCCAATTTGTGCCTAGGAGTTACCTGAGAGAGTGGCAGAGGCCAAAGGTATGCTGCAATCTGATAGAACAGTTTAACTTAGTTTAATTTTAATTTAGTTACATTAACTTAGCCCAAATTCTTCCAGACTGCGAGGGTGTCCTGCACTTTTAGATGCAGATCTTCGTCTGGGTAAATTTGAGGGAGTCTTACACTTTGTTACTGCAAAATATCGAGACTAGTTGGATAATAAAGTGGGAGATACAATTTAAAACAGAATTAATAAGAAAGAAAACTTTTTGCCTATTTAATAAAAACACTGTAGTTTACTCCAATAATCATTAAAAAATGCAATCTGCAAGTAAAAATGTTTTAAGTTCACTTTTAACTTAAATGTACTGCTTCAGTTTGTAAAGTAACAATTTTTACTTTTACTGCACTGTAGTTTTTGGTCCATTGTATAAAGCATACATAGATACTGGAGCTGAAGCATTGAGTTTGATGCCCCAACCAAATTCAGTCTGTGAGCTGAGTTTTTACCCAGAAAACAGGCAGCTTGACCTCAGCTTCCCAATCTAATCAGCATGTTCTCCTCCATTCTTGAAAAAATTAACCGCATTCATCACATTGTACTCCTGCTCCTCTCTACAGCTCATGATGCTTTCTGTGTTCCTTGTCCTACTTCTGGACCTCAGGATCATAACTGCCATGGCTTGATGACACAGTGGGCACACAAGCAAGCATGTGAACCAAATGAACCTAAGAAAAGCTTTTAGCAGTATACCTTTTTCTTGGTTTGTTAGGGGGGTTGGTTTGTTTGTTGTGTGGTGGGTTTTTTTTTTAAGGCAGAATAAATATACAAGAATCTTCCCTGACACAGAAAAGTCCTGAGAAGTTTTAGGTTTTTAAAGCACAATGTCTGAATCCTGTTACTCAGAGTACCCACAAGATGAAGGTACTTAATTCACTCACCTGTTTTTCCCCCTCCTTTTTCCCAATAATTAAATCCCCCCACATATTATACAAAGATCCTGACAAAACCTGAAAGCAACTAAATATATCACTAAATTCATGAGATGCAAATAACCTCAATAAAGAGTAAACAGCAGCCTCTGACTTGGAGCCTGAGTTTCCCAGGGTGCAGAGTGCTCTTAATTCCCTCTGATGCCACTGCCTCTTAGGAGGAATTCTGCCAGAGATGATGATCAATCGTGAGACTAGAAAAAGTGCTAATTCCCTATTTTCTAGCCTCTTACAACTTTTTGTCTTCACACCTCCTTCCTGTTCCCTCTTAAAACTGTGTCTCTTTTCTCTATCTCATGGATAAAGTCACCACTTCATTTCATTATCTCTAATTCCAGACATCCTGCATTCCTACACTGGAAACAATCAATATAAGGCATCAAAGAAGAAAAAGTATTTAAAAATATGCACCACTATGAAGAAGGATGACAGGGCAATAAAAATCAGCACAAGAACAATCTGAACTGCTAAATTCGCCTAATTTAGGAGAACAGCTAAGTCCTTACTTTCCCTCTAAATGTGAATCAACATCACATCCATGAGCCATGTATGGTACAGAACTTTGAACTGTAATTCATGCATTTCTTCAACATGAACAATTTCATCTGCTGAGTGAATGCAATATAGGAAGCCACACTCAAAGATGGAAAAATATTTGTGAAAAGTGAGGAAGCCAACTAACCTGACCAATAGGTTCTTTTGTCGGGGCCTTTCCTCTTCTAGCAGTGCTCGTGGCCAAAGTGGTGGTTGTTTCCATGACTGACGTGGACATCTCAGACTGCATCGCTGTGGCTGTGGACTCAGTTGTCATAGAGGAAGGCACTTCACCAACAAGTCTCACATTTCCTTCTATCACGATGTTGGCATCATTTTCTGCTGCCATATTCAGAACTTTCAAGCCATTGTAGTAAAGACCAGAGAGCTGGCCTTGGAAAGGGTGGCCACGTTCCTTGCCTCCAATTTTTATGGTTGCTTGGCTATTGAAGATTGTGAGCTGACGCCCTGTGAAGATAATATTATATACATGCAAAAATGTTGACTGTGAACGCTATACTCTATACGAGTGATAACAGATTGTCATGGGGTGAAAAATGAGAGCAATAAACTATAAGAAAAGGATTTGACTCATAATTCATTGCTTTTTAATGAGGTGTCCATGAAATGCATAAATTTTGAGAGTATTTACATTTTTCTTAATTTACAAATTTTTGGGTTTTATATGGGTTTTTTTGCTAAAAGGCCAATCACATATATTTGGAAATGTGTTTAGCACTACAAGTCATACCCCTCTCCCTTTTACCTGAAAGTACTGTTAACCTTTTGGTGTGTTTCAAAAACAGGTTTCTAATTCCCTAAGATAACTTTTTCTTCAAGTCTGCCAACATTTAAAAGATTTTTTTTTCCACGAAATGCAGTATAGAGCCTATAGCTTTATGTACATGTGAGTTTATGTATGTATAGACATATACAAATATGTATACACACACAAAGTTTATACATATGCCAACAAGCCACTAGGTCAAGTGAATTTTAAAGAATGTTATGTAGTAATTTGTCACATCATTATATAAGTGAATATTTACATTTTTAAATTAAATGTTTCCTTTTCGTATTTAAATGTTTATTTTCCTTCAACATACACACTGAAAAGAAACACATGGTTCACACTGAGTATCTCAGAGGCAGATTCAAAAATAGATGTCTGATTGGCTTTCAGCAAGGCTATCAATTAAAATAAAAAGATTTTAGATGCAAAAGCGGCTTCAGAAATGATACACATACCGATGGAGAAATCATGGCACATTTCCATTAAACAGAGAAATCCTCAGCAACAGTACCACTCTTAGTAAATAGAATAGTCACTTTAGCAGATTGGTTTCTGCTCACAAAAAGCATGCACACAACTTTAAGTTCTGTTTTAATTAGTGTTTGTTCCAAAATCCCCTTAGAAGGTTGCAAACGTTAAAGGGACTTCATTTTGATTGGCAATTCATATTGCCCACTATTTAAGATACCTACAGTTTAGACAAATTTTTTTTCAGGACCATAATGAAGATATCATAACTACACATATTTTTAGTTAATAATTTAGATGCTGGAACATGTAATATAATCTATGAATGATTTATAATTTTTGGTTAATGTTTGCTATGAGTACCTTCATAGATTGAGTTAGTGGATTATATTTAACAGTCCCTTTAACCTTAAGTTAACAGGGTAAGATTATTAAACAGCTGGTACTTCTAGAAATGTATAGAAATTATTATACAAGGTATGCAAATATTACTCTATATTTTACTTTTTAAAATTTGTTTTAATTTAGTTTTACTGAAATTTATTTTTTATGTTTATTAGTGTTACAATGAATACTACTTGGTTATGTTCAAATTATTTTTTTATTTGAAGTTTTAATCAATGTTTTTACCTTTGTCGAGTAGCCATTCATCAACTACTCGACCAAGTCGATATGGAATTCGCTGTCTAGCAATCGCCAGGCGCTCGTTATCATTGTTTCCTTTAAAGTTTAAAGAGACATTTCATTGGTTAAAATCTGTAAGGTCAAAGGTTAAAAGTTAATACTTAAAGCTTGAGCTATACAGTTGCCACATGATTTTTTGAAATTTGGAATTTTAAAAAGTGCTACCTAGAACATTTCATGGTTCAGACTTTTCATTCATTCATTTATTTTATTTTAGCAAACAAAATTATTCCTATGTTAATTGAAAATTAGAAATCTGCATTTGAGCTAGGTTATTAAACTTATGTTATAGACAGACCCAAAAAACAAATTTAAACATCATCGAATGGCTTTACAAAAAAATGATAGTTGACCTCAGGGTTTTGTCTTTTTTGATGTTTCTTATTAACTAGTTAAACATGTTCATGTGAAACAGGTTTAAGTTTTCAAAAGACATCCAACCTCTCACTCCAAGTTAGTCATTTAAAGAAGAAGAACACAGCTCCATCTAAGGCACACTTACTTCTGCTGTCTACTAATAGTCCTGCTGTAACTTATTTCCTAAGCAGAAAAAAAATAAATACGTATTTCTTCGCTTCATTTAAATAAAATCCAGAGATTCAAATATATATGGTACAGAACAGACCAGGGTATTCACAGTTTGTACATTTTCTTAGGACTCGTTGACAATGTCTTGAAGGAACACCAAGGCTTTGACAAAAGTGACTTGCTGAAAGGTAGCCTGGTTCTGAAACATGGAAGTGCTTTAAAATTTAGCAAGAGGCCATCTGTAGTGGAATTTCATATATTAAGAACTAACCAGAACTCAGCAATGCAAAGGACAAACTTGTCATAGTTGCAAACCCTATCTATTGTCAGTCTGTGCAGAGATCTTGGACTTCTTTTACTAAAACAGTGAGCTAAAATAAGGCTGGCACAGTCAGAAAAACAGCAGATAAGGAATAATTAGCAAAACACTTCAAATATTTATTTCTAATTAGAGGGTTTTTTTTGTCTTTGAGCGGTATAGATGCGATCCCTCTGAAAACCATGTCTTCTGCTTCAGAGAATGGCACACCTAAATATTTCTTTCAATGTATAAGCTTTAGGTGGCAGTAGAATTTTAGAACAACAGTATCTTTTTCTTTTATTGTATTAGTTCATATTAGTAAAGAACCTGAGAGATAAGAAGAGCCAGATGAGTAAAAAGTAGTAATTCATAATTCAAATCCAAATCCAAAGTCAGACCGATTGGCTCAAATGTGCATACTGCCTTTGACTTCAAAACCCACTATTGAACCAAGTCCTGTATCTGCAGTGGAAATTTTCAGTACACAATGCAGTAAGTCCACATACTGCTCAGAAAGACATGTTCTTGAACTAGAAGAATTCTACTGCTAATTATGAAATGAAAGTATAATCCAAATGCAGGAGATCAATGTTCCAGTTTGTCAGAAAATTACAAGTCATTACAGCCTTGCAGGGAAGAATCAGTACAATAGCCCCCAAAATTTGCAAAAGCAACAGCTTCTGTACCAAAACACAGGGTGGTTTTATGCAGGTACTTGTTCTGCAGTGACATGAACTGCTTTTCTATGTTTCATGTATCCCTCATTAGGTTTAGCATGGACAAGCTGACCTATTTTCTTTTGAGAGGATGGTCTTTTCCTATTCACTTTCCTATATAGAATTGTAAAATGGTGTGGGTTAGAATGGACATTTGAAAATCATCTAGTGCAGCCCCTCCACTATGGGTAAAGACATCTATCACTAGATCAAGTTGCTAAAAGTCCATGCAACCTGGCCTTGAACCCATCCAATGACAGGGTATCCACAACTTCTTTGGACAACCACAGAAACAGGTTCCACACACAACTTCTCTGGGTAAATATACTATGAGAATTTCTATATGTATGTCAATATTAAAAAGTACATGGACATAAATATAAAATATATACATTTTACTCATAGAACATTTTCCTCTGTTCTCAAATTTCTGAAACATTTTCTGTAAAAGAGTATTTTACTGAAACTTTCCCTTTACTACTTATCCAAGAAAGTGAAAATTTAGAATAAAACACTTCAGAACACAAATCCTGTGATGATGTGAGAATACACAAAGTGTTAATTTATTTTTTCCTGTTACGATCTTTAAAATTACTTCTCTCCATCCCAGGCTCCTTCTCTTACAACAAGGTTCCTGGGACTAAATGGAAATTTGAGAAATACTAGAAAAACGTTATATAAGAAATGTCATGTGACCAACACAGGAACAACAATAAATAGTATGATATTCCCTGTTTCTCTTTTGGATTTGTATCCAACAAATATGTGTGTGTGTGTGTATATATGTATATTTAAACCAGTGAGTTCATAATTTATAGTCTCTGACATATTTTAACATATTTAGCTTTTCACTAAGACATTTCTACAGTTTTTTATTGAGGCATTATCGGTTGAGTCACTGAATAAGTAAGAGAACATCCTATTTCCAGAAGGTTTCCTTAACTTAAGACAAATGAATCATGAGGTTTAGTTGCTGTTGAGTACATTCATTTTTTTTTGTTATCTATAATTTTAAAAAATTGGGGGAGTGGGTGAGATTCTTCAGTGTCATTTACAAGAAAAAGGCTAAGTTGTTCCGAAAAGGTTTGCATGCATAAGGAATCCAGTAACACAATGGAAGCAAGTCTCATGGATATAGATCATCATTCATGCATCAATTTCACACCGGGTTACTCACTGGGTGCCTTTCATGAACAAATGCTCCCTAGACCTCAGAAGAACCACACAGTTATGTCGAAGTGAAACAGTGTTCAGAACTGCATATACTAGGAAGGTATGAAACTATGTTATTCAACCAGGAGGTGTAAATCAGGAGTATTTGGTAGAAAGACCCTCTGCAGTTACCAGTCTGGATCCTTAACACTATTGCATCTCTTTATTGTAATTCCATTACTAACATGGGACTTATCCTGGACAACTTTTATTGCTTCCTCCACTCTCACTACTTGGCAGCTGCTCTAGAACATCTCTATAGTGATTGTGGAAACTCCTCTGTGAATTAACAGTATAAATTTAGTCTTGGCCAGCTTATACATTTCTTTGAATTATTTCATTAAAAGGCCATACAGTATGTATGTTTTTTGAGAATATTGCACCCTATTATAATGTGATTCTCTCAATAAATTGTATTTTATACTAACTGCAGCAGTCTTGCACCACTGGGAACAAAATTCTAATGAAAAGCAAGGAAATAACAATTTGATTTGCAAAGGTCACACAAAAAATAATTGCTGATTACATTAGCCCATTCCTCATCAGAGGAAAAGTGCATTGTCAAATGCATCTCAATTTGACACTATTACATTAGCTTAAATTCTTCTAGTGTATAATATAAATGGAAAGTCTGGAGGGAAATGGTGTGGAACTTGTCCAGATTTAGTTTCAAGGAGAACATATAGGCTTAGTAATGGTGAAACTAGTAGACACATAAGTAAGCTAACAACTACATTAAAAGATTTTATACATAGCGCTGAAAATAATGGAAACAACATTAAAAGCAACAAACATCCTATTACTACATCATGAGAACACAAAACTTTTCAGTAACTGCTTCTTCCCAAATGGCTGGTTTGGGTCATACTCTCAGCTACAAAGAATCTGTACAGCCCCACTGAATTCAGTAAAACTGTGTGCATTTCCTTCATCTTATAATCTCATCCTCAGTAGGGAAATCATAAACACCACAGATTGCTTTTCTCAGGAGTATGCAGTGCACGTTTTTCTACCTTCCTTTATTTATGCTTGTTTTTACCTGTCTGGTGAACCTTTGGGAACTTCTTCAGTAAGAACACTTCCAAGAAGTTTAATAATTATTTTCATACCCTAAATAAACCTGCAGCTTTGAGATTTTATTTCTGTTACCCATGTGAAAGATTAAGTGCTCTGGCAGGCATTCTTTCAACTGTAATTCATAAAAAACAACCAATATGACTGAACTTTAATTGTAGACAGCTCTGTGACTATCCAGCATTACTCTTCCTGGTTACATGGCCAAGATTTTTTTGATTAAAAAACCTGAATGATTCACTCAGAATGTGCACCATGACATTGTCTAACCTGATTGAATTCTAGATGGCTTCATTCTTCTGCCAAATAGATAATATTTTGTCACAACAGAGTGTTAATTCTGTATGGGCAGAAAGGCTTCAAGGGAATAACAATAATTCCAAAGAATCAAGGTAAGCAGAGAAGAGCAGCAAAGGTCAAATCTTTGAGTAAGAGCTAAATCTTGTGTCACGATTGAGAAGAAGCAGTCCAAAAAACTTTAATCATACCTTTATATCTATAGGTCAGCTGGGACAAACCAACTATGCGAACTTCACTAATATGTATTTTATCCCTCCTGATTTATTATATTGTCAGGGCTAGAGTGTAATTCTATTTTGTGCTCTGAAATAAAGGTGTCAGTTATTGATGTGAAATAGCAGCATCCTTGAAAGAGAATAAGTAAGAAGGTTGAAAACTGAGAGTCTGTGAAGAACAACCTACACTGGAGAATATTTTCTTTGAAACAAACCCTTTAACAGAATACAAATTCACATTGTTAGTCCTAGTGATCCGTTAGAGAAATAAATAATGAAGTGAAGAAGCCAAGGTCTATCTCCATTTATAAAGATCTTTCTCTCCCTAGTTTTGCTCATCATGATCTTGACACTGCTGTTTCTGAATCATGACTCCCCTGACATCTGCAAGGGGAATACAGAGACCTATACCATTCCTTCATTTTCAATTACGGTTGAAACCTGACTGCATGGCATGAGAGGGAGCCACAGCAGCTCTGTGATACAGGGGCAAACAGTCCACATACTGTCTCATGCGGCCAGACTAGGAAATGAAATCATAATCTCAGTAACGGCCCTAAAGTTCTTTTGAATCATCTATTACTATTACTGTGCACGCACTCTTGAGGGGTAGGGGAGAAGAGGTCCAGGTTCAGCTCAGGAATTCACTGTGTTTGTGGGGGACCCAATATACGTGCTCTGATGTATATT